GCGAGGCTCCAATGTGTCCTCCCGTCGGAGCAGTGTTTTCGAAATACTTGGGGACATGCTGACCGGCGTGAACATGGAAACAATGGCTGACATGAAAGACGGTGCCTCGGGGTGTACTCTTTCAATCATGACTGTCGCTATCTGCAAAGAAGTTGTTGAGATCTTGGCTCCCATACAATACCTGATTTGTTCGCTTCTACTGCGTTACTCCAATCCCAAGCTCCACGACACATTCTGGAATATGACAGACGAAGAGTTCATGCGTGGCATTCGAAGATTATTGATCGACATCGTGGCCGAGGGGTCTCTTTTTGTACTGCTCATCATAGTTATGAAACGATGGTTGAATGAATCAGTCGTATTTATTGCTCTACGGCTCAGCTATCAGTTTTTCTGGCCATTTCTCGCCATGCAAATCTGCCTCATGACACACTATATAGACCTTCAATACTCCAACGCTGGTATGACGTTCTCCTTCGACTTCAAGTGGATAGGCGAGAAGAACGCCACATGGCACGGTGGTAATTGCTATACGATGGGCAACGAAACTGTCGGAATGGTCTGCCAAGATGTCATGCGCTGAAATGTAGCATGAAGTACGATTCTGTATCATACTGTTACTTGGTGTTATGAAAACATGGACGAATGATCCAGTATACTCGTTAGCAACATAACCGTGTTGATTCAGTGGTTAGAACGTCATTCGTTACTTCGTCAACAGGTAACCGTGAGAAACGTAGTTCTTTATCAAGCTCCATCGATAGATGAACGATTCACCGCTTGCTTGTTATATTGTTGCTATTGTGAACATACCAGAGACTTGACATCTGCTCCGGGGCCTCATCGAGGTCTCTGCTTGCAATGAGGCTCTTAGGAGCGCTCAAGACAATTATAATTGTTATTCCAAGAGGCGTAGCTGTCACTTTCCGAGGAGCCATTGAAATCTCGTGTTGCCGGTGACCACACGTTTCTCTCATTGACACGGTCGATTGCGGGTCGTAACAAGTCCAGAGTTTCCTCACGGTACTCAAACGGCTCGGGTATCAGCTGGCAGTGACTATATCAGTCTCCCATTGAGAGCAATTCCCCGCGGGAACATTCTGTCGGTTTAATTTGACCCGCTCAACTTCATGACGTCCCACATTCCGTCCGATTAACCCTCCATCGACTGAATCACACAAGTTAACATCGCGTAGGGTCTCCTGGTCCCAGACTGCTATAACGATCTCTATGTATATTCCCACAGCGAATTCGGTCGCTGGGACAAAAAAGTCTACGAAAAGCCAGAATCTTCCGAAGGTCAGCCCGGCTTGGTACAAATCAGGGCGAATACACAGTACAGTTCATTGGCAGCTCGGGAGGGTGAAAACCTATGAACTTGAAGCACTGGTCACCGCGCTCCTGATCGACAAGGTGAATCAATTGTGTCATCCAGAAATATACCCGCATCTGAACGTTATTCTTTACAAGTTAGTAACCAACACTGGGCCTGTTTCATAGGAGCGAATTGCGCCTTAAACTTAAGTAGCGCCTTAAGTATACCTTAAGTAATTAGGCCATCCTATTTCACTACTTAAGTAAGCACGTTAAGGCGCCTTAAGTTTAGGAATACTTAAGGCGCCTTAAGTTTCTGTGCATATACTTAAGTATTTACGAGAAGCATTTCACAACATGCGTACTTAAGGAGCAACTTGAGTATTCCTTAAATTTTATTAAGGTAGAGCCGACCCTACCTAAACAGATACTTAAGTATCGTGCACCCTGCAGGGGTTGAACCAGGGACCCTTCGAAGGACAATGCTTGAATATTGTATCTCGCGGGGGTCGAACCGGAGACCTTACGAATGGCAGCACGGTGCTCTGCTAGTTGAGCTAGAGAGGCAAAGAAGTCAAACGAGGAGTTCACTCCTTCAACACAGCGGAAATCAAACCGACTGAGCTGGCAACCGGCGTTTATTATAGTGATGTCCATGTTTGATTGTGTTCGTTTCGGTTCCCACCATAACTTTTTGAACACAAGATTTACAATTCACCGAGACTCAGACACCTTGTAATGCAAGCCATGCCAACGTAACAATAACTAAATTCTACATCGTAACTGGCGGGACGACGTGAGGAAGATATCCAAGGTATGTGCTGCTGTTTTCGTACTGCACAACATGGCCACCTTCATAAATCAGCCATTGCAAGACGTTGAAGAGGCAATGTTAGGTGCTTATGAACAGGAGATGGCTGTGGTTGACCCAGATGCTCCAGTGGATGGTGTCGGGAACGCTCTCCGTGGAAGCTATGTTCGCTGTGCTCGCCCACGTGCCACGTGTACGCACGAGCAAGTGTGACGCCGAACCTACCCCTTATTGAATCTCTTCCTGAGATTCACCTTCGTCTCTCTATCACATCGATACTCTTATCTTACCTCTACCTTGGTTTTGGGTTGATATCAGCTCGGTATTATGGACGACGATAGTGAGATCATACATCGCAGATATTTTCAGTGACTTTGCGATGCATCAGTGATTCGCGACATCATAAGTATATTTTCCTTTCTGCGGATTGTTGTGTTACTCATTGTAGTTAGATTCGTAATTTGTGAGAACTTTTCATGCAGTTCGTTATCACTGATCGACGAAAGTAGTTGTGAAGCAAATAATAAGGAAAAATATCACACCTTAGATTCGATCCTGCACGTTTCGGATGACGGCGGACCAACCTAACCACTCAAGTATTTGAACCATGTTTAAAAATGTATTACTGTATTCTTTACCTGTAATCATGGTTAAGTAGATACTTAAGTACGCCTTAAGTTAAGGAGCTCCTTAAGTTGCTCCTAAACGTTGTGAAATGAGTTGAGTACTACTTAAGTATACCTTAAGTAACTCCTTAAGTTGCTCCTAACTTTAAGGCGCCTTAAATTAAGTATCCTTGTGAACAGGCCCAATGTAATCACTTTGTGCACGCGTGCAGCTCTTGCCCGCTCAACCCTCTTTGGAAAATCACACGAGCAAGATCCACAAAATGTCGGTACTGAGTGTCGACCTTCAACGCGAATTATAAAACGGATTTCCATAGCGGTTAACTCGTCAGCTTCCACAGGGTACATATAGCTTGTTCAATGGAGACAACACTTCAAACTTGGCTGAACTTGTGACAGTGGTGTGGTTCTAGCTCGAAGATGCAGTCGCGGCGCTTTGCGCTAGAAAACTATTTCCTGTCTTTCTGAAAGTTGTGTGTTGGTTCGATTGGGTTTTGACGGTCGTTTTTTGGTAGTTTTATATACATTTACACATAACCGTGTCCATACTTTAAATGATGGTTGATAATGCTGCGACAGTAACTCCTGGCCCGTCCGTATTGAATAATTCCCTCGACGAGTCTAGACTCCATCACTCTACCCCTCCGAAGACCTATCGAGAGCCAAAGAGCTTCGTGTCTCCTACGGTTGCTTCGACAGCTAACAGTTCTTCACCACGACATGTTAACTTTGATAACTACGATGATGACACTATGCATTTCGACAATGTCGTGAACCATGAGGAGCTCAACGACGTCCTTAACCGATTGCTGCCTTCCTTGGACTACTTGGACGGCGTTTCCGGTGAGCCAGAGAGTGACAATGACGGTCCTGTCGGTAGAGTATCTGCCCTACATCACCCTAGCTTAGATTTGTCTGCACTCAGTGACAGCGTCTTTGAGGACTACCATGATGATCGTGGTCGTGGTTTTTCAGCTGATGGTGAATTCTCCTATGCTGACAACTTTAACAACGGCGCTGTCGCTGAGCCTCATTGCTCTGGTGATTTCGGTGGTTCGACCGCTGGTGACTCTTCTGGAGAGGTGGTTGATGATATGATGGGTAAAGTCCTTTCTGCCTTCGTGGACGCTCAGAAGGAGCTTGAAGAAGAACGGGAGAAAAGAAGGCAGCTCGAGCTCGAGAATGAAGTGATGCGTTTGAGAATCCGCACCCTTAGTAGTGTCGGCTCTAACCCTACTAACAGTCGGCATGGTAGCATTAGTTACGCTGCTGCCTTGAACAACGGTGTTGGTTCATCGTCACCAAACTACGGTGTGCTTTCATCGAGGTCTCGGGCGATGACCTCTGCTGTTGATACGTTGTTGCCTGACGACGCCAGCATGTCGGAGGTAGCTCCACCGCCTCCAGGGCTGTTGGAACATCAAGTGTCGGCTCCCTCTCGTTATTATGGCTTGTCGTCACATTTAGGCGCTTCTCATGGTGGCTACAGTGGTAGCTGGGAGGCGCCACAGCAGCAACGGAGATCGAGCTCTGGTGCTTTGAGCTATCACCAACCGGTGTCACCAACGACTCCACCGAA